GTGAGTCGATTTTTTTTTCTCTTTTTCGTTTTCGTTTTCTTTTTCTTTTTCTTTTTGTGGATTTTCTAGTTTGTGGATTTTTTTGTTTTTCTTTTTTTTTAGTTTTTTTTTTTTAGTTTGTGGATTCTTTTGTGTGTTTGTTTGTTTGTTATTTTTTCTTTTTTTTCTTCTTTTTGCTGTTTTTTCTTTCTTTCTTTTTTGCTGTTGTTGATGTTATTATAATCAGTATTACTGATACTGTTTTTTATTACTAATTATTATCATTATTATTACTTGTTTTTTATTGTTTTTGAGTAAATTGTTTTTTTTTTTCTTTTTAATCTTTCGGAAATGATTAATGATGTATTCAGTAATATGTTTTTGTTTTCAATGTTCTTGTTTGGCTGTAAATTCGCTTTGGTTTTGTTATAAGGATTTTTTCTTCCTACGACATATATATATATATAGATAGATAGATAGATAGATAGATAGATAGATAGATATTTATTTATGCTAGGCCTGTTGGACCTTCATCTCTGACAATGCTAGCCTGGCGTATTTTTTATGCCAAATTCTTAAGAAATGTGTGTGTGTGTGTGTGTGTGTGTGTGTGTGTGTGTGTGTGTGTGTGTGTGTGTGTGTGTGTGTGTGTGTGTGTGTGGGTGGGTGGTTGTTTTTGTGTATGTGTGTGTGTGTGTGTGTGTGTGTGTGTGTGGGTTTGTGTGTGTGTGGGTTTGTGTGTGTGTGTGTGTGGGTGGGTGGGTGGGTGGGTGGTTGTTTTTGTGTGTGTGTGTGTGTGTGTGTGGGTTTGTGTGTGTGTGTGTTTGTGTGTGTGTGTGTGTGTGTTTGTGTGTGTGTGTGTGTGTGTGTGTGGGTTTGTGCGTGTGTGTGTTTGTGTGTGTGTTTGGGTTTGTGTGTGTGTGTGTGTGAATCAGTACCAGTGTGTGAGTGGGTTTGTGTGTGTATGTGTGTGGGTTTTGTGTGTATGTGCGTATGTGTCAGTGGGTTTGTGTATGCGTATGTGTCTCTGAGACTGTTAAACTGCTAAAATGTTATTTATCTATCTATTTGTATATTTATTTCTCAATACAACCTTTTAAAACAACTTACAAGAGAAGAAAAAAAAGACAAGTTGTTGCTTTGAGTTTGAGCATTAATTCTACGGGAAACAAACTTCTGCTTTTGACATGAAAGGCAGAAGGAATTCCATTTTATGCTTGTTTGCTTGCTTCATTGCGTGCAAGATGAACTTTGGCTTCTAAATATATTTATAATATGAGGCCACGTGTTCGCTTGTGCTTTAATTAAAAGTTTTCTGCCGTTACTTTTAATGTTACCGAAAGGAAATAGATAGGTGGATAGATAAGTAGATAGATAGATGGATAAATAGATAGATAAGTAGATAGATAGATGGGTGGATAGACAGAAATTGAGAGATAAATAGATAGATAGACAGGTGGATAGATAAATACAGAAAGACAGAATAAGTAGATAGATAGATGGGTGGATAGATAGATATATAAAGACAGAAACTGATAGATAAGTAGATAGATAGATGGCTGGATAGATAAATATAGATAGACAGAAATTGATAAATAAGTAGATAGATAGACGGGTCGATAGATGAATATAAAAAGACAAAAATTGATAAATAAGTAGATAGATAATAGATAAATAGATAGGTAAATACTCACATCCGGGTTTCAACCTATTGATCACTATTGCCACATGTCGTTATATAAAACATTTGGCTTCCGTCTCCATAATTAATTAATGTTGCATCAAAGTGCTGGCGTCATAAAAATACAGTTTACAAAAGCGTATGAACGTCCAACTTCATGAAATTATGTTTGTGATGTAAATGAAGATAAACTGCCAGGCTTTTTTTTAATGTATTAGTGATGTGGTTATTAGTGTGTTGTTGTTTGATATCGTTATTGTTGTTGTCATTTTTTATCATCATTGTTATTATAATTATCACTGTTATTCATTATCATCATCATTACGTCATCATCATTTTACCAGTTTTATCACCATCGTCATTATCATCTGTTATTTTTCGACGTTATTTATCACCACCATCATTATTCACAAGAGAACAACGTTATAACCTTTATCACGATTTTTTACAAAATTCATTACGTAATTTTCTATTCCTCACCGGTCAGTAAACTCAAATACCTGTGCTGTTCCATGTATATAAAAAAAAAACATACGAAAAAGGAAAATGAAAAAAGTTTTAGCTTCTTAGGATTTTATTATCCATAACGACGAATTATAAATATATATATATATATATATATATATATATATATATATATATATATATATATATATATACATATATACATATATATATGTCTCTCTCTCTCTCTCTCTCTCTCTCTCTCTCTCTCTCTCTCTATATATATATATATATATATATATATATATATATATATATATATGTATATATATATATATATACATATATACATATATATATATATATATATATATATATATATAGAGAGAGAGAGAG